GATTTCTCCATTTGCTCTCTGTGGTACCCTGACCTATGAGTCGTTCAACCACTTGTCTGTATAGAAGAAATACTTTTGTTTATTTCTGTCTATTTCTTTCTGCTTGAATAAGTAGGGGCATAAAGATACCTATTTTCAAGCATGCAAATATGTCAATGTGATGTACTGTTAAAGTAGGGTAACTGATTGCAAAGTATATTCCAGGACCCCGGACATATAAGCGAGAAATAGCGAAGAAATAAGCAGACCGACCGTTATTAAACAGTAGCAGCATAAGAAAGAACAGTTAACTGAACAAACAGAAACCGGCTCTGCTGCGCACAGAGGGAAACAGTAATTACTTTTTTAAGCCTTAAGAGTTGTGAGAAAGAAATCAACCATTGCCTAGACGAAGGACTGCAGATAAAGTTCTGTGCGAGACAGCACTAATTTTTTGGGCCATGTTTGAATGCATCGATGAAAAACAATGTGCAATACAGCAAACCTAGGATCTTCGTGCACACATTCGCCATCAAAAGTGATTGAAAACTTGGCTGATTAGCTCTAAGGGCCATTCATTCTGAACACATCGGTGAACCTCGGTGATCGCCCTTTATTGTACATATCCGAAGTGTCCTAACAGCGGATAAGCATCGATATTGCTTCCTACATAATAAACTATCTGTAGTTATGGCATTTTGAAACTTAGAAGTGCTTATAACGCTTGCTTTTCACAAAATGCTTTTTAGTTCTATATATGAGAAATGAAAAATTGAAGGATTGATGTTAGAATCCCTTTTGCTATGATGTTGCGACCGTTTTTTCCCACGTACAAAAAAGTTTAATATCCAGTAATAACTGGTAGAAAACTGCTGTTAACAGATGTTAACTTTGCACTATTAGAACTCTGTAATGGATGCTTTTTACAGAGCGATCGTCGAGCTCATCATAATGCGTTGGAAAGAAAAAGACGAAATCACATTAAAGATAGTTTTTTATCCCTTCGCGAAGTGGTACCAAACTTAAAAGGAGAAAAGGTACTGTATTTTAATACCGAAAATATTTACAATTTTAGAACAGTTGCCTGACTGTACATATTAACGGTTTATTATGCAGGAGTAGGTGTAACCTGGTGTGAGAGAGTACCTAACAGTAAAGAACAGCATATGCTGCAGTAGTTGCATGCTGCGTTTGCTGCGGGAAATCTCGATGCTTAATTAGAATGATCCACGTTGCAGGGCAGAACACACAGAGTATATCCTTTAAACCGTTTGTATGAAGTCTAT